TAGGTATGTCCACTAAGTATGTCTACTAGGTATGTCCACTAGGTATGTCCACTAGGTATGTCTACTAGGTATGTCCACTAGGTATGTCCACTAGGTATGTCTACTAGGTATGTCCACTAGGTATGTCCACTAGGTATGTCTACTAGGTATGTCCACTAGGTATGTCCACTAGGTATGTCCACTAAGTATGTCTACTAGGTATGTCCACTAGGTATGTCCACTAGGTATGTCTACTAGGTATGTCCATAGGTATGTCCACTAGGTATGTCCACTAAGTATGTCTACTAGGTATGTCCACTAGGTATGTCCACTAGGTATGTCCACTAGGTATGTCCACTAGGTATGTCTACTAGGTATGTCCACTAGGTATGTCCTCTAGGTATGTCCACTAGGTATGTCCACTAAGTATGTCACTAGGTATGTCCACTAGGTATGTCCACTAGGTATGTCTACTAGTATGTCCATAGGTATGTCCACTAGGTATGTCTACTAGGTATGTCCACTAGGTATGTCTACTAGGTATATCCACTAGGTATGTCTACTAGGTATGTCCACTAGGTATGTCCACTAGGTATGTCTCTAGGTTAGGTCCACTAGGTATGTCCACTAGGTATGTCCACTAGGTATGTCCACTAAGTATGTCTACTAGGTATGTCCACTAGGTATGTCCACTAGGTATGTCTACTAGGTATGTCCACTAGGTATGTCCACTAGGTATGTCCACTAGGTATGTCCACTAGGTATGTCCACTAGGTATGTCTACTAGGTATGTCCACTAGGTATGTCCACTAGGTATGTCCACTAGGTATGTCCACTAGGTATGTCTACTAGGTATGTCCACTAGGTATGTCCACTAGGTATGTCCACTAGGTATGTCCACTAGGTATGTCACTAGGTATGTCCACTAGGTATGTCCACTAGGTATGTCCACTAGGTATGTCCACTAGGTATGTCCACTAGGTATGTCCACTAGTTGTGTCCACTAGGTATGTCCACTAGGTATGTTCTCTAGGTATGTCCACTAGGTATGTCCACTAGGTATGCCCACTAGGTATGTCTTCTAGGTATGTCCACTAGGTATGTCCACTAGGTATGTCCACTAGGTATGTCCACTAGGTATGTCCACTAGGTATGTCCACTAGGTATGTCCACTAGGTATGTCCACTAGGTATGTCCACTAGGTATGTCCACTAGGTATGTCCACTAGTTGTGTCCACTAGGTATGTCCACTAGGTATGTTCTCTAGGTATGTCCACTAGGTATGTCCACTAGGTATGTCCACTTGGTATGCCCACTAGGTATGTCTTCTAGGTATGTCCACTAGGTATGTCCACTAGGTATGTCCACTAGGTATGTCCACTAGGTATGTCCACTAGGTATGTCCACTAGGTATGTCCACTAGTTGTGTCAATAGTATGTCACTAGGTATGTCCACTAGGTATGTCACTAGGTATGTCCACTAGGTATGTCCACTAGTGTGTCCACTAGGTATGTCCACTAGGTATGTTATCTAGTATGTCCACTAGGTATGTCACTAGATATGTCCCTTGGTATGCCCACCTGGTATGTCTTCTGCTGTCCACTAGGTATGTCCCACTAGGTATGTCCACTAGGTTGTCCACTAGGTAGCACTAGGTATGTCCACTAGTATGTCCACAGTTGTGTCCTAGGTAGTCTACTAGGTATGTTCTGGTTGTCCACTAGGTATGTCCACTAGGTATGTCCACTAGGTATGCCTAGGTATGTCTTCTAGGTATGTACTAGTTGTCCTGGTTGTCATAGGTATGTCATAGGTATGTCCACTGGTATGTCCACTAGTGTGTCCACTAGTTGTCCACTTGGTTGTTCTCTAGATATGTCCAGGTATGTCCATGCTAGTATGTAGCTGGTATGTCACTGGTTGTCCTGTGGTAGCCTTAGGATGTTCATGGTGTGTCCTAGGTATGTCACAGGTATGTCCTAGGTATGTCCTCTAGGTTGTCCATAGGCATGTCACTAGGTGTGTGTCTTTTAGGTATGTCCACTGGGTATTCAGATAGTGTGGTCCAGTGGTTGTCTTAGGATGTCACTAGGTATGTCCATAGGTATGTCCATGCGTATGTCTTAGGTATGCCTGGTGTGTCACTAGGTTGTTCATGGTGTGTCTCTTAGGTATGTCCACTTGGTTGTCCTGGTATGTCACTAGGTGTGTCCTGGGTGTGGTGTGTCATGGTTGTCTAGGTATGTCCAGGTATGTCCACTAGTATGTCATTGGTTGTCCTTAGGTATGTCCACTAGCGTATGCCTTGGATGTCCACTAGATGGTCTACCTAGGTCATGTGAACAATACCTCCGCTCCCTCCTTTCCCTCTCCCTACCTTCCCCCTCCAAACCTCCCCTTCCCTGGAGACTTCCGAGTAGGTAATTTCGTCAAGGCGGTGCTGTGGTGCTGTGAGCTGCGTGCTGCGGGCTGCGATGCTGCGGTGCTGTGTGCTGTGGTGCTGTGGTGCTGTGGTGCTGTGGTGCTGTGGTGCTGTGGTGCTGCGTTGCTGCGGTGCTGCGATGCTGTGGTGCTGTGGTGCTGTGGTGCTGTGGTGCTGTGGTGCTGTGGTGTTGTGGTGCTGTGGTGCTGTGGTGCTGTGCTGCTGCGTTGCTGCGGTGCTGCGATGCTGTGGTGCTGTGGTGCTGTGGTGCTGTGGTGCTGCGATGCTGTGGTGCTGTGGTGCTGTGGAGCTGCGGTGCTGCGGTGCTGCGATGCTGTGGAGCTGCGGTGCTGCGGTGCTGCGGTGCTGTGATGCTGTGGTGCTGTGGTGCTGTGGTGCTGTGGTGCTGTGGTGCTGTGATGCTGTGGAGCTGCGTTGCTGCGGTGCTGCGATGCTGTGGTGCTGTGGTGCTGTGGTGCTGTGGTGCTGCGATGCTGTGGTGCTGTGGTGCTGTGGTGCTGCGATGCTGTGGTGCTGTGGTGCTGTGGTGCTGTGGTGCTGCGGTGCTGTGGTGCTGCGGTGCTGTGGTGCTGTGGTGCTGTGGTGCTGCGGTGCTGTGGTGCTGGCGTAGGCCAAATTAACTTCACATGACATGAGAAAAATATATGTTCTTTACGCCTGTCCTGCTCTTTCTTGTTGCTTTATATGCTCCCTTCTATGTTGCTTTATATGCTCCCTTCTATGTTGCTTTATATGCTCCCTTCTATGTTGCTTTATATGCTTCCTTCTATGTTGCTTTATATGCTCCCTTCTATGTTGCTTTGTATGCTTCCTTCTATGTTGCTTTATATGCTCCCTTCTATGTTGCTTTATATGCTTCCTTCTATGTTGCTTTATATGCTCCCTTCTATGTTGCTTTATATGCTTCCTTCTATGTTGCTTTATATGCTTCCTTCTATGTTGCTTTGTATGCTTCCTTCTATGTTGCTTTATATGCTCCCTTCTATGTTGCTTATATGCTCCTTCTATGTTGCTTTATATGCTCCCTTCTATGTTGCTTTATATGCTCCCTTCTATGTTGCTTTATATGCTTCCTTCTATGTTGCTTTATATGCTTCCTTCTATGTTGCTTTATATGCTTCCCTTCTATGTTGCTTTATATGCTCCCTTCTATGTTGCTTTATATGCTTCCTTCTATGTTGCTTTATATGCTCCCTTCTATGTTGCTTTATATACTCCCTTCTATGTTGCTTTATATGCTCCCTTCTATGTTGCTTTATATGCTCCCTTCTATGTTGCTTTATATGCTCCCTTCTATGTTGCTTTATATGTCCCTCTATGTTGCTTGTATGTTCCTTCTATGTTGCTTTGTATGCTTCCATCTATGTTGCTTTATATGCTCTCTTCTATGTTGCTTTGTATGCTTCCTTCTATGTTGCTTTATATGCTTCCTTCTATGTTGCTTTGTATGCTTCCTTCTATGTTGCTTTATATGCTCCCTTCTATGTTGCTTTATATGCTTCCTTCTATGTTGCTTTATATGCTTCCTTCTATGTTGCTTTGTATGCTTCCTTCTATGTTGCTTTATATGCTCCATCTAGTGCTTTATATGCTTCCTTTCCAAGTTGCTTTTAATGCTTCCTTCTATGTTGTTTATATGCTCCCTTCTATGTTGCTTTATATGCTTCCTTCTATGTTGCTTTATATGTTCCTTCTATGTTGTTTATATGCTTCCTTCTTATGTTGCTTTATATGCTCCCTTCTATGTTGCTTTATATGCTTCCTTCTATGTGGCTTTATATGCTCCTTCTTGTTGCTTTATATACTCCCTTCTATGTTGCTTTATATGCTCCCTTCTATGTTGCTTTATATGCTCCCTTCTATGTTGCTTTATATGCTCCCTTCTATGTTGCTTTATATGCTCCCCTCTATGTTGCTTTGTATGCTTCCTTCTATGTTGCTTTGTATGCTTCCATCTATGTTGCTTTATATGCTCTCTTCTATGTTGCTTTATATGCTCCCTTCTATGTTGCTTTATATGCTCCCTTCTATGTTGCTTTATATGCTCCCTTCTATGTTGCTTTGTATGCTGCCTTCTTTGTTGCTTTATATGCTCCCTTCTATGTTGCTTTATATGCTTCCTTCTATGTTGCTTTGTATGCTTCCATCTATGTTGCTTTATATGCTCCCTTCTATGTTGCTTGGCATGCTTCCATCTATGTTGCTTTGCATGCTTCCTTCTATGTTGTTTTATATGCTTCCTTATGTGTTGCTTTGTATGCTTCCTTCTATGTTGTTTTGTATGCTTCCTTATGTGTTGCTTTGTATGCTTCCTTCTATGTTGCTTTTCATGTTCACACACAAGCAAAGCCTAATTGAAATCCAATTAAAACTTAATTAAAACGCCGCAGAAATTTAACTGTAACCCAAATAAACCTAAATCAAACCCAGCTAAAATTTAAGTGAATCCAGTCGTGACTTTCCTGAAGTTAAGAGAACCTCAGCAGTGACTGCTATGAACATCCTCACAACTCACCTTCAGGGAAACTCCTGATTGTGAAGGCAGCAGTGACTGCCATGAATCTCTTCACCGCTCACCTGCAAGGGAAGTCCTGCTTCCTGAAGGCAGAGGACTTCGCACTCCTGGCGGGTGGCCACTCGTTTGCTCTTCTTAGCGAAGCCTTCCATTTCGAAGCCCATGACGCGTTCGAAGCTCCAGGCTCGGTCGCAGGACGGGGAGTCCACCAGGCAGTTCTTCTGTACGTATAGCGTGAACACCGGGAACTGCGAGGAGGTGAGAGAACCTGTGGTGGGAAGCAGAAAAGGAGGGTGTTACGTGGGCGTGGGCGTTACAGGAGCGTGGGTGTAGAGGGTGTTACATGGGCGTGGGTGTTAAAGGAGTGTGGTGTAGAGGGTGTTACGCGCGCGCGCGCGCGTGTGTGTGTGTGTGTGTGTGTGTGTGTGTGTGTGTGTGTGGTGTGTGTGTGTGTGTGTGTGTGTGTGTGTGTGTGTGTGTGTGTGTGTGTGTGTGTTTGTAAATGTGTACCTTCAGTAATGGCTCCTCCATCAGTTAGGTTGTCACACCTGGTGACTGTAACGCTGGATGCTTCTGTAACGGTGCACCGTATTTGTAACCGTGAGTGTTTATTGTAGTGGTGATTGTTTTTGTAAGAGTGAATGTGTAGTGAATGACAGCGTATGTATAGTATTTGTAACAGTGTTTGTAACAGTGTATGTATAGTATTTGTAACAGTGTATGTATAGTATTTGTAACAGTGTTTGTAACAGTGTATGTATAGTATTTGTAACAGTGTTTGTAACAGTGTATGTATAGTATTTGTAACAGTGTTTGTAACAGTGTATGTAACAGTGTATGTAACAGTGTATGTAACAGTGTATGTATAGTATTTGTAACAGTGTTTGTAACAGTGTATGTAACAGTGTATGTATAGTATTTGTAACAGTGTTTGTAACAGTGTATGTAACAGTGTATGTAACAGTGTATGTAACAGTGTATGTATAGTATTTGTAACAGTGTTTGTAACAGTGTATGTAACAGTGTATGTAACAGTGTATGTAACAGTGTATGTATAGTATTTGTAACAGTGTTTGTAACAGTGTATGTACGTGTATGTACGTGTTGTAACAGTGTATGTATAGTATTTTAACAATGTTTGTAACAGTGTTATGTAACAGTGTATGTATGTATTTGTAACAGTGTAGTAACAGTGTATGTATAGTTTTGGGACAGTGTATGTATGTATTGTAAAGTGTTTGTAACAGTGTATGTATAGTATTTGTAACAGTGTTTGTAACAGTGTATGTAACAGTGTATGTATAGTATTTGTAACAGTGTTTGTAACAGCGTATGTATAGTATTTGTAACAGTGTATGTATAGTAAAATTGTAACAGTGTTTGTAACAGGTTGTAAGTATTTGTAACAGTGATGTGTTAGTATTTGTAACAGTGTTTGTAACAGTGTAAAGTATAGTATTTGTAACAGGTATGTATAGTATTTGTAACAGGTTGTAAAAGTGTCTGTATTATATTTTGTACGTGTTTGTACAGCGTAGTATAGTATTTGTTAACAGTGTATTGTATAGTATTTGTACATGTTTGTAACAGTGTTGTATGTATTTGTAACAGTGTATGTATAGTATTTGTAACAGTGTTTGTAACAGTGTATGTATAGTATTTGTAACAGTGTATGTATAGTATTTGTAACAGTGTTTGTAACAGTGTATGTATAGTATTTGTAACAGTGTATGTATAGTATTTGTAACAGTGTTTGTAACAGTGTTTGTATAGTATTTGTAACAGTGTTTGTAACAGTGTATGTATAGTATTTGTAACAGTGTATGTATAGTATTTGTAACAGTGTATGTATAGTATTTGTAACAGTGTTTGTAACAGTGTATGTATAGTATTTGTAACAGTGTTTGTAACAGTGTATGTATAGTATTTGTAACAGTGTATGTATAGTATTTGTAACAGTGTTTGTAACAGTGTTTGTAACAGTGTTTGTAACAGTGTATGTATAGCATTTGTAACAGTGTATGTATAGTATTTGTAACAGTGTTTGTAACAGTGTATGTATAGCATTTGTAACAGTGTATGTATAGTATTTGTAACAGTGTTTGTAACAGTGTTTGTAACAGTGTATGTATAGCATTTGTAACAGTGTATGTATAGTATTTGTAACAGTGTTTGTAACAGTGTTTGTAACAGTATATGTATAGTATTTGTAACAGCATATGTAGTGTTTGTAACAGTATGTCTTTGTAATCGCAGCTGTTTTTAGTACCATTGTATGTTTAGTGTGTTTGTAACAGTATGTTTTTTTTTTAACGGTTTGACTGTGTTTGTAAGTAGTTGTGTGTTGTGTGTGTGTGTGTGTGTGTTGTGTGTGTGTGTTGTATGTGTGTGTTGTGTGTCTGTGTGTGTGTGTGTGTGTGTGTATGTTGTGTGTGTGTGACTGTGTTTGTAGAGGTGTGTGTGTGTGTGTGTGTGTATGAGTGTTTGGGACGTTCACACCCGTATGTTATAGTTGAACAATTCAATAATATAAAATTAACGGAGAACTTGAGAATATTCATCACTCATGAACAAAGAAAGTCAGTCAGTTACGCGGATGTCTGGAAGCTCAGAAAAAATAACAAATCAGCAAAAAAAAAAAAAAAAAAAGAGAGAGCATTGATAAATTTGCTAGGATGTGTTAGGACGTAAATTGCATTATTAAAATGAATAAGAACAACAGAGAGAGAGAGAGAGAGAGAGAGAGAGAGAGAGAGATAACAAGGCGAAGTCTTATCTATATTTTTCTCCCGAAATTCCTGACTATGAAGCAAGACAGACGTTTGTTACTGTATTGGTCTGAGAAGTGACCCCAGTTTGATACACAGCAACCGTCCAGGGAGGTACCATCCTCCTCTCAAATGAGTGTAGAAAAGAAACTTAATAATATTTTTTAGTGCTCTGGGAGGAATGTTGATCTTCTGTCTCGTGAACACGTAAGATAACAGGTCACTCTTACAAACGTCCACTTACAGCTAATATAAACATACTTTGATTTTCCTATGGCCTTTTCTTGACAGTTTTTGATCCTGTAATATTTCTTCTCTAACCTAGGAGGCCTGGTCTAAGACCGGGCACAAGGGGGAAGATAATTCCCCAGAACCACTTAGAGTGCAGAGGGTAACAGAGTAAGAGTCTCTGATGCGAGTTGCAGTGTTACCACTCAACAACGCTAACTGGCTCTCTTTCTGCAAGTACATCTTACTATTACATTATATCTGCAGCTACGAAAGGAAGAATCTGTGTAGAACAAACCTTCATTATCACTGTTTACATCTATTGGCTCCATGACCACATGTGTTTTTATAACTGTTGTAACTTATATTCGAAATTTTACATTAAATGACACAAGACTTCATGTAGGTCCCGTTGAATGTTTTGTCAGTCGTCCTCAGATGTCGAGTACTCGTGTGTACTCGTCTCATCTGCGTAATGTGTGAGCTTTTCAAGATTACGCAAAGTATAAACAAAAGGGACTAGACCATGGGACTGATACCTGAGGAGCCTCACTTGTTATGGCTAGCTTCTCAGCGGCAAGTTGTTGCTTCCCAGCTCACACCTCATTACCCACGCCAACTTCGTCAGGATTCCTATTAAGCATCAGCGGTGTTTCCTGGGTAACTAAACTGAAGGTTGGGTGAGAAGTGGCGAAGGGATTTAGGAGAATTTCATGGATGGTAAGGCATTATAGCGGCAGTCTCAATCTCTTCCGGGAAGGAGCATCTGTGACCAATGCTCGTACTTAGCGGGAGCGTCGGGCAGGTGTGATAGGCGCATACAGATTTAAAGAGCTATCACAACACCTGTTAGACATTAGTCAGTAAAATAGAGAAGGATTGGAAAAGCTGTTCCCTGACTTTCATATATTTTGCGTTAATGAGTATAAAATGGAAAGAGAGAGAGACTGAGATAGAAAGAGGTGAAAAGAAGAAAAGCACACATACAAAGAGAAAAAAAGGGGGAAAAAATTATCTTCATGATCGTAAATCAAGAGCTTCCTTGACAGCAGCCACAAACTCCTCGCACCATGACGGCGTAAATGAGCTAGAAGGCAAAAATCTATTCCTCTCGCATATAAAACTCAGTGCCGGAACACGCGTTCAACGAGCAAGGCGGAGAGAGACTGGCAGGCAGCTACTATTGCAACCAGAGAGACAATCACCATGGCTAGTTGCAACAAGAGAGAATCACCATGGTTAGTTGCAACAAGAGACAATCACCATGGCTAGTTGCAACAAGGGAGACACTCACTATGGTTAGTTCCAAGAAATGAACCAAAGTAGTCAAAGGTTACAAAGCCCATTTCCTTAAATTATTTGATGCTGCAAAGGATTTGGGACCAGCCAAAGTCAGGACGAGACTGTCACTTGGTTGTGAAGGAATCAAAGTAAAGTTTAATAAGGTAATCCCTTGTTAAAACTTTACTTTGAAGATAATGTATTATATTAAAACTTTACCTGAAGGTAATCCCTTGTTAAAACTTCACTTTGATTCTCGTGCTGACTTTGAAGGGTTAGCACAAGGATTACCTTCAAAGTAAAGTTTTAACAAGGGAATACCTTCAGAGTGAAGTTTGAGCAAGTGTACACCTAACAAGAATTACCTTCTTGTGGTAGACTGCAACCACTCAGTCAGAACGGTGTACCACAAGGCAGTGTTCGTGATCATTTTTAAGAAGCGGATATTTCAAGAACCCATGATGCTTCGTCCCTAAATGCAACACATTAGTAAATTATTGCTTTTTAATCTCCACGTATATTAAGGGTGGCACTGCTCATTGCCCGCAAGGTGCATCACTCACCAAATTAGGGACTTTACAGTGTCTTGCTGGGGTTGTAAACAAACAGGATGTATTTGCTACTGAGAAAACATTTGACGATAATCGTAAGACAACGTGGATTCGTGTGATGAGGAATAGACGGTGACTAGTAGTGACCCATGAAATGGGCATCCTGTGAATGAAATTTGATTTCACTGTAGCTACGAAGGCCTAAGTGTCCAGCATGGCAAGCAAGGCCACCGAGCAACTGCACCGAGGCGCATTTCGTACCTGTTTGAGAGCGGTGGTTGGATAACTCAGTAAGACGCACAAATTTGCTCTTACCTTGACTTTAGACTACCCTGTAGGATAGTCTGTCCTGTTCTGCATAAATCATCATACAGGGAGATTCCTATAAAATCTCGGCTCATACTCTTCGCATCATTAATTAGAGCAGAACATTTGGCAAT